AGAGAGAGAGAGAGAGAAAGTATCAACGCGCCATCCCATAACCACAACACCGGCAAGTAAGAAATGCGATTACTAAATATACATACATATACATATAAAAACATATACATATACATATACATATACATCTCTCCAAGCTTCTTCTTCTACCTTGCTCACTCACTGCGTAAGTGAGAAGAAGAACCACGAAGAGCACCTCCGGGTTAAGGATCCCTCGTTATCAAGGAGGTCGTTCTTTCCTAGCGTGTGGAATGTAAGAGTTTGTCGGTGGACAATCTGTGGATAGGGGGATGCGGAGGAGGTGGTGGTGGTGGTCGAGCGAGTCGAGATTCGAGACGAGCACGCACGGAAATCGTCGGTTGCGCCTCCTGCTATATACGCCCCCGTACACCACCATGTGGTCGTGAAGGGATGGACATCTGCGGGAGTGCAGACAGGTATTCGGGTACGTATCACATAGTAATAAAGTAAGCTTCGTGATCAAGCTCAAATCTAGTCACTACAAATACTGATCCCGGAAGTACAGCTATCCACATAGAAAGAGCATTATACCAGACAAGGCAATCTTCAGCAAAAATTGATTTGATGGTGTTCTCGATGCCTGAAGAGGCTGGCAAGTAAACTAAGAGTACACCCAAGAGCGAAAGAAAAAAAAAGGCTTGTTTGAATTGCTTGCGAACCAGATCCTAAATTCCGCATGAAGCAAAACACCCAGTGGTCAGATCACCGCTCGCGTCATATCCTTCGTGTTACCATATCCAGTGGGTAGCCCTACTGACTTGATGTGTATGGCTAGAACTTACTCGCCTTACTCCTTCTCAGGCACCGCAGCATCGGCGTATTGTGGTGGAGGACCTTGGAAGGCAAGGAAGCCTTTGGTCTCATCCTTAGTATCCTCCTGTCCAACCTCAGCGTACGCGGAGTTCTTCTGACCAGAACGGAAGAGCGAACGCCAGGTGAAGATGACGATGTGGCCGACTACCATGCCAATCAAGCCGGCGGTAATACCAACCATAACACCAATGATCACCGGCACGAAGACATGGAGGAAGATGCCTCTCAGGAACTTAGCAAAGCTATGCTGGTGGTGATGGCGGGAGGGAGCGTGGGGACGGTGGTCCGGTCTCGCCTTATGGTCAGGGTGCGAGTGTCCGCTGGGTCTGCCTTTAGTAGTAGGTCTCTTCCTCATTCCAGCGCAGCCCTTTCTCAGGCCCTGTTTCATCTTTGAAAGACGGTCTGCAACGATAGCACGCCACTTGCAAGCGATAGTCGAGCACTCCTTGTCGTCTCCTGTTAGTCTGGCAGGGCTGGATGGGGCGCTGATGCTGGAGTTTCCGATCATGAGCTGCCCGGAAGGGGTCTCCAACAGATTCAGTTCGATGGCCGGGAGGCCGGAGATAAACTTATCGGCTACTTCGACGATTTCGAGGCGGATGGCTACGGTTTGCATGAATTCTGGTCCGGAGGAGGGGGGGTGCTTGACGCTGAGGGAAAAGCCGAGCTTAGGAGTGCCGGCTTCTGTCCAGACACCGTTCGATTTGATCATCTGCGAGGCTGTGAGGGGTTCCAGGAAGTTTGCCATTGTAGGGTCGATGGGGTAGATCTGGAGACCGTTGACAAGGACTTGGTCGACTCCATTTTCGTGGGAGGTGCTGAAGTTGAAGTGCAGGACCGAATCGGGTTGTGCGGAGTCTGGTTTTCCCTTCAGCTCCGTTACAACCGGGCAGCCGGGACACTGGATCTCTATCACACGGGAAGTCAACCCCGCAACGACAGCTTCTGCGGGAAGGGTGTTTATGGCATCCGCATCGGCTGTTGAGATCTCAGGAGGGATCAGAAAGCTTTGCACGCCACCGACCACGACTGCGAGGGCACCTAGCTGAGGGACACGCATGTTGGCTTGCGGTCGTTCGGTGTGGTGGGGTGGGGTGTATGTATTGTGAGAATCGAAGAAAGGGGTTTTGTCAACTTGGTGATGGCGATGGAGGGGAAGAAGACCAGCTTCGCTATCGCTGCTTGCTGTGGCGAAGGTATTGATGGTATAGTTGTTGTTGTTGTTGTTGTTGTTGTTGTTATCGCGGTGGGAGTGGTTGTGGTTGTGGTTGTGGTTGTTCGAATCGAAGGAAGAGGATGGGCGTAGAGCGGAAGGTGGTGTAGGAAGTATTAAGTATGATATATAGATGGAGACCTTCTACCCCGTCCGTACTGTATATACGGATAAAGAGGGGCTTTACGGGGTGAAACCCGCTAGTCCGAGTCAGGTGTAGCGTGCTCTGTAGTCGGTGGCAATGGTCGGTGCTTCAGTATCAGTATCGCCCCCCGCCCCCCGCCCCGCTCCGCCGCTCGGAAGTTCTAATAATTGCCACTCCTTTTGCCCTTTGCCCTGTGCCCTTCTTCCCTTTCGCCTTCCTCCAGACTCCTCCTTCCTTACAATGCCGGGATCTGGCTGGGGTTTGGCGCTTTTACACCTTCGGGAAGGGCGAGATGTCCCGAGACGAGACAGGACGAGAATATCTGAAGAAAGTCAATCTATGAATACTCTACTCTACTCGAAGCAATATCGTAACCTACCTCCGGATACGTCCTCGATATATCTCACCTGTGACTAATAGTATATCCGTTGGCAGTTGTATATTTAGTTGTATAGGTAGTGGTATATTTAGTTGCATATTTAGTTGTTTGTATATTTGCTTGCTTGCAATCCCATCCTAGCTATACAGTACCTACGGTACTTTACCCTACTGTACTGCAATCCCCCCCATCCCCATCCCCATCCCCATCCCCATCCTCTTCCTCATCTCCCCCCCCTCCCCCCCCCCCCCCCCACCCCCCACCTTACCCCTTTGCAGCAGGATCGCCCGTTTAGACGTCATGGGTCCCGTCCGACTTACGGCGTCCAATGACTCCACTCCTGTCGCCCTGTCGCCCTGTCGCCCTGTCTCCCTGTCGCCAGCGGGTCAAGCTTGCCTTGTCAAGTCAATGTCAACAAAGTATCTAGATTACCTACCTAGCTACCTACCAAGCTACCTACCTAGCTCCTGACCTTGAATTACTTCTCCTCCATCGCCGTTACCTTTCACAATCTACCCTTCACAAATCCACAGTTTTCATTGTACCTTATACAGTTCACAATTCTTCCCTCAAACCAATTCCCCTTCGTACCTCTTCCATTGGGACCACGATACCTCTATATTTGCTCTTCCTGCGTCTTTTTCAAGCTCTTCTCCTGTCTTAATTCGAGCTCCTCAGTATGTTCCGCTTGCAACTCATTCGACAAGCAGCTCGCGCTGCGACTGCGAGAGCTTCTTCGTCTCCCATTGCCTCTCGTACACCGCCAGCTTTATCCACCCAGAGATTCATCTCCAGCACTCCCCCCCTGGCCCGCGATGAGAAGAACACAGAGGAGGAACACGAAGGCTCCTTCGCCCGGACTGATCCATCCGTCGAAGTAGAATACCCCGATGAGGGCGATCTTCCATCCAGCGCTCCGGTGCAAGGCAGAGGAGGCATGCATTTCAGGCGTACGCTGGCCTCTTTCTCGCTCGAGGGAAGAGTCGGTGTGGTGACGGGAGGAGCTCGCGGCCTGGGCCTGGTAATGAGTCAAGCCTTGGTGATCAGCGGTGCGGATGTAGCTATTGTCGATTTGAACAGTATGTGGCAGCATAATTGATCTTCAAGAGTTCTTTTACTAATATCCAGAACAGAGGAGGAAGCAGAGAAGCAAGCCGCACAACTAGTCGAGGCCTTCGTGAAGGAGAACCCAGGCGCAGAGAAGTACACTATACTGGCGCCCTACTCTCTCTACAACATGCAACTAACGCCTAACACAGAGTCCCTAAGGTAACAGCCCACTACGCGGACGTCTCATCTCAGGATTCCGTCGACGCAGCCATCGCCGAGATTATCTCGCAGCACGGCAAGATCGATAACCTCGTCACCTCCGCCGGCTTCACCGAGAACTTCGAGGCCATTAACTACCCCATCGATCGCGTGCGCAAGCTCTGGGGCGTCAATGTCGACGGTACATACCTGTTTGCCATTGCCGTGGCCAAGCACCTGATGGAGCGCAAGGCGCCGGGCAGTATGGTATTTATTGGGAGCATGTCGGGCGCCATTGTCAACGTGCCGCAACCGCAGGCACCATACAACGCGGCGAAGGCGGCCGTGAGGCATCTGGCGTCGAGTTTGGCGGTCGAATGGGCGCCTGCGAATATTCGGGTCAACTGCATCTCGCCGGGTTACATGCTTACTGCTCTGTGAGTCGTACTGGCTCAGTATGCAAAGATGGGTGCTGACAAAAGACCAGGACGAAGAAGATCTTGGACGATAACCCGGACTTGAAGAAGCAATGGACTTCACTCATTCCCCAGGGTAAGATGGGCCAGCCAGAAGACCTGATGGGTGCTGTCACTTTCCTATCTTCGGACGCTTCTGCATACGTTACTGGCAAGTTCTCTCCTTCACATCCTCCTCAAAACTGGCTAATGGTAAAAACAGGTGCCGATCTCCGCGTCGACGGTGGATACACTCTTACGTAGAGAGTCTACGAGAGGTGCAGCATTTCTAGGCTCGCGATGGTCTGTTCTGATGCGGAAGCATATAGATAATTTTTGCCGGGGGATGACAATTGGAGCGCGTTGATAATATTGCAAGTTGAACAGAGCATTCAATTGGTGGGCGGGGACTCGATACTTGCGACGGTCAAAACTGGAAGGGAGTGGGTCTCTATATATTTCCGTCGGGTTTTTGCTATTCGACAAACAGAGTTCCTTAGTACTCATTCGCAGCTTTTAAAGTCGCGTTTTATCTCGTGAGAGGTTGAGGGTATTTCCTGTATGATTTCGGGATAAAAGCCGGATTGGCATATAGATTCCTTTTTTTTAAAAAAAAAATTCCATTGATCAATACCTTGCATCTCATATCCATGACCTTTTGAATGGAGTCGACTGACTGGCCACTTCTCCCTGCCTCTTGCATAGGTAACTAATTGACCAGAGTACGTCCTTACCCACCGTACCTCAAAGGCAGGTAGGGGGTCATTTCCAAGGTCCTCTGACCCTCTTTTATAAATGACGGCCATTAGACCGTCTAAAGTCAATTCTATAATCTTATTCGGAAAAAGCTTAGCGAATAGACAGACGATCCCATGGCCGTCTTACAGCCGTCCCCGTCTCGTCATTCAGAACAGGTTTCTTCAAAGGCTTCGTATTAAGATTTCGAACCGATGTCAGGATTATTCAAAACCACGATACGGTTGAAAAGCTAGCAAGCCTTTTTTTTTTTTTTTTTTTTTTTTTTTTTTTTCAAAAAAAAGTGCTGGTTTGATTACAATTCAATACTGTGGAATGGGTGCCGAGATACTGCCACGGGTTGTATATTAATGCTTTCAAATATGGGAAATCGGAAGTCGGATCGATTCAGCAAAGGGTCACCTTATCTGCTTGATAGTTGTGTTGTTACCCTGCGCCTCGGAGGCGGGGGTTAGGAAAGGGAGGTGGGGGGGGACAGGGAAAGGAGGAAGAGCTGTTATATTCTATTATTTATTTATTTATTTACTTATTTACTTAGCTAAGTTCTCGGGACGGTTCAAGGTTCGGGGACGGGCACAGGACGGTCCTTTAACGAAAAGACGAGCTCTTATGTAAACGACGATCCAGCCGATTAAACCGGTTCGATTTTAGCAATAGTTTTGGGGCTTTAAAATGATTTCAAGACAGGTTTGATTCCAATTCGGCTCTAGACTTGGGGGGGGGGGGGGGGGTGATCCACTAGCCATATCAACCAACCTCTTGGGACCGTCTCCGAAAGAGATCATCATGGGACGATCGGCTGGCTGGCTGTTCTAACGCTCTTGTATCCCCCTTTAAGCTTTAAGGTAGTCAGTAGGTAGGTAGATTGATGACCTTGGGGCGATACCCGGATTTGGATCAAACGTGTAGTTGAATTATGTAAAGATATATAAACTATAGCGATAATCGTCGGTTACCTCAAATTCAATTCGAAGGAATTGACCGACGAGCTGGAGCAAGTGGGCATTACCAAGGCGGGACAGTAATCGTCGGTTACCTTGAATTTAATTTTTGAAAAATCCCGACCTGGCGCAGCCAAGTTCGGCACCACCAAGGCGGGACGGTAACGGTATACCACTTATTAAACAACAACTATCAATATAAATATAGATATAAAAAAAATTAAATTCATATGCTCAGCTAGCTTTGCTTTATAAATATAAGTTAAAAATATAAAGACGCATTCATTCTTGGTGATATAATACATTGATATGTAGTGAAAATATAGCTAAAAACTATGCTAAATAATTTAAAACTACTTGTTTGCTGCGAACATCGTAACAACTACGACCTTAATTTTTTTTAAGAAAAAGGTTTCATAGATCGGAAACAAATCTTTTAATTCATTATATTACTAAAAGTATTGATTATTAGATAAAAGTTGGTAGCGATACACGTATTCTTTGGACGGGTTTGAATAAAAGTCTGATTTTCGTATTCCTCGCTTTATTTTAGTATGTACGCGGCAATTCGAATATATACGCATTAGTAAAATCGAAAAGTACACATCAAAAGTGTTATTTTTATTACTTTAACTTAAGATAATAAAACAATGAGAGCTTCTAGTTAAAATTTAATTTTAATTGATTAATACTAAACCTAATACGGTGCATCTTTTTACATAAAAATAACTACGAAATAATAGGTAGTTGGTTGATTTTTTTTATCTATTACAAAAGGGCAAATTTTACTGTCCCGCCTTGGTGGTACCGACTTGCTACAGCAAGTCGGTCAATTCTTCCGAGTTAAATTTAAGGTAACTGACGATCAATGGAACTATTCTAGTCGATTGAACCTTCTTCTATAAAAGCCTGTCTTTTTGTTAAGAGACCGTCCTGGGACCGTCCCCGAGCGTTCTGGAGACTATTTTGGGACCATCTTACAGCCGTCCCAAGGCCGTCCGTCCTCGAACTTTGAAGCGTCCCCGACAAACTTGGGTTCGTAAGCAAATGATTTATTTGCTTTTAGCCCTTTGCTTCTTTCTGCCTTATCCGTCCCCCCCCCCACCCACTTCTCTCCTCTTGATTACCACCTCCGCTATGATACGTGATGATACCTAGGCGGGCACAAGGTAAACCTCATGCTGGATCGAGTTGACTCCGCTTTTAGATATATTTTTTTTCTTTAGAAAAAAACGTTTAATATATAAGCTATCCGTAGCAGCAGTACCGAAAAAGTGTCTTGGCACCGATCCTCTTTGAAATTGAAATTGTAATTCAGAACGGCATTTAATTGAAAGATGGGTTTCTAGCTTTTTTTTTATAATCGTATCCTGACTAAGATGATCAATGCGTAGAGCGCTTTTAATGCTTAAAACCAATTTTTTTTTTCTAAAAAAAATATATACCCGTTCTAAAGAATTGGACGGGGACGGGGACGGGCTGTGGGAGGCCTCTTGCAATGGGACGGTCGGGGACGCTCTATTAGCTAAGCTGATTCCTGAATAGAGCTTAGTGCTGAAAACAGGCGGTCCAATAATCAATCGCCTCTTGTAGAAGAGGGTTTCAGAGGATCGCTGAAAAAAAGACCCTCGACTACTGTACTTAAGTAAGTAGGTAGTACTTGCCTTTATAGTAATCGCTTGGGCCGCTCTTCCCTCGACGCCCTCTTACAAATGCTTAATTTATTAACAGTGTCCCATAACCAATGCTGTCCGACGGCAACAGATAGGTATCGTGAACACATCGGGCCGAAGCTAATCTAGCGCGCCCTTTCCACCTTCTTAAGTAATCTGTGACTACGGTACCGTAGGTAAAGTGAAAAGAGAGCAGGGTGCACTGGCCAGCCTGCCTTGACAGTGCACGGGTCTTGGGGCCTTGGCACTGGTTCCTATTACAGCCTCGTCCTAATACCTGGTTCTGGAGGATACAAGTTCAAGTCAATCACAACCATCAGAAATGCTTCCTCCTGTGACCTAGTATTATCACGAGATAAGTACTGGCATTATGATGCTAATGCGAGAGCAGAGGTGTCGTAATTAATCGTCGGTTATCTCAATTTCAATTCGAAAGAATAGACCGACTTGCCACAGCAAGTCGGCACCACCAAGGCGGGACAGTAAGATTTGCTCCTTTACCTACAATAAATAGAAAATCAACCAACGATTATATCGTAATTGCTTTTACATAAATAGACGCACCATACTAAGCACAAGTATGACATTAGTCAATCAATCAAATTTCAATTGCAATCTATTATTCCTTTATTGTGCCAAGTTCAAGTAGTAAAAATAGTCCTCTAGGCGTACTCTTGTTATACTTTTCGACCTTATTGATGCGTACCTACATGTCAGAATTGCTGTGTTCATTACTACTGTTAAATAAGCGAGGAGCCACGAAAAAATCAGACTTTTTTTTTTTCAAACCTATTAAAAGAATACGTGCTTCACTACCAACTTTTATTTAATAATTAATACTTCCATTAGTAAATTAGATTTAATTATTTATTTACGATCTAGGAGACTTTTTTTTTTTAAAAAAAAGATTAAGGTTATGGTTGTTAAGATATTCGGAAGCAGGTAAGTAAGATTGTATTATTTAGGACGGTTTATAGTTAGATTTTCATTACATTTTTAATTTTAATGTATTAGGTTATCATAAAGAAAAGCATCTTTATCGTCTTAATTCGTGTTTGTAAAGCAAAGCTTTTTTAGCATACAAATTTTTTATTTTTATTTTTTTCATTTGTATTAACATTTGCTGTTTAATGAGTGGTATATACCCGTTACCGTCCCGCCTTGGTAGTTCCGACGTGGCGCAGCGCAGGTCGGGATCTATTACAAAATTCAATGCAAGGTAACCGACGATGACATTCCTTAAAAAAATTTTTAAACGTCTCTGCATTTTCAATGTTCAATCAAGGATTTTGCAATGATTGAAATCGACGAGCAATAGCGTGCTTGCAAAAGGTACGTAGTACATTCTGAAGTGACCTTGTTAAAGGATTTCTTGTTCGATTATAGACACTTCTAGGTATAATTAGCAGCACGAGACGTAGATCTAGATTTCAGGTACGTACGGTTACCAATATCAGTAAAATGAATATAATCAAAGACTATTTAACAGAAAAAGAGACAGAGAGATATATGGAACCTTTTATATATCTACATCAGAATAAACCCATCACCTTCCTTTCTATCACCCCCCTCATTATCTCCATCATTTATAATACAAGCTCATAGCTCATTCTCATCATCGAAAGAGTCACTATCTCCAGTCTTTTCAGTATCTTTCTAAAATAAAGCTATCTATTATCGCAATCTATCTTCTGCCCGACCCATCTTTCTAGCTAGCCTCCAGCTCTCTCTTCCCAAGCCTTCTCTTCCTTCAAGAACGCCCATGGAAAGACCACTTCCTCTATCGCTCACTCGAACTGTTTCTGATGCACGCTTCATCTGAATTTGATTCATATGATATATATAGGCTTGCTTATACCTATAAATCACCCACGCGGATCACAGAAGGGAGCAGAGGTAGGTAATCAATGATCGAAATTCGTATGCGCCTCATGGAGATACCAAAGAGAGAAGAAATACGATGGAAGGAACCTTCTCATCGACTAGGAAGGGGCTTCTATCGGCTTTTATACGTACAAGTTGATTTTACACATCGCTTACTTACCTATTGCGCGGTGTTGGTTAGTTGATCGTCGGAATAGTAAACGAGCCTGCTCGCTGGCGGGCGGGTGGGAAGAGAGCGACTCAATGGTGTTGTGCTGTCGAAGCGGATATTGAAGAGATTAGAACAAGTCTGTAAATGTAAAGTATGGATCCCAGAGCAAATCCCTCGAAAGGGTGAGATACCGGTACCTACCTATGGCCAATGCCATTATGGCACCGAGACGCAAAAAATTCTCTTGGGCTAGTTATATCGAGAATATTACTGGCAGAGTAGCCGGAAAGAGCATTGCGCTCTTCAGAAATTTCATGATCTCCTGGGAAGTGGCAGATGCTTATTCCGACTGATACGATGAATAACGATGAGTCACCTAGATCTATGGGCTCAATGCTGGAGAACAAAAAAGGAGCTACTAAATTTCCGTGAAACCCGTTGCTTTGGAAGAGGTGGGATATCGCTGGAGGTCCTGGACCCAAAAAGAAGGGGAAGAGCTGGTATGGGTTGTGGTTAGATTTGTGGCGTTCGCCCCGGAAGGAATGAGAGTTGAGAAGGGAAGAGCTGGAAAGAAGGATTCTAATTTCTTTTTGGTTTTTCTTTTCTCTTCGACTTTTCTAAGGTCTCTGCTATCGGCAATCGGTTCTTGGTTTTTGATCCTTAGTATGGATAGACGGGAATTCTCTGCTGGTACCAGCGACAAGTTCCCTAACTGGAGCAGCTGGGCGTAAGTGATTTTTCGAAATGGGTCGACGGAATGCTGCCCAATCCGAGAACCGAGCTCGCTCGGGGAAAGTAGGAGGAGGTGCGAAATTATAGATATTGATATACTTGCCCTCTGCCACCAACACGAGCATTAATCAATGTCTGGTCGGTACGGTACCTTGCAATTTGAGATTTGTTAATTTGTTAGGGCCCAATATCTCGGGTCAGGCTTTGCCAATATACTTAGCGGACGAAGTTTAAAAAGGTTAGTATCATCTCCGATCCCGAGATCGCCTACAGTGAAGGTTATCATCTCCCGATCCCGAGATCGCCCACAGTGACAGATGATACGTAGTATTTTCTGCGGCGATGGGGGCAACCCTACCCGCCCCTTGCATTTGCACGGACGGCAGATGTAGGCGAGGGAGGTCAACGTTCTAGAATCCGTATCCGTGAGGGCTTAGTGGTAGCAGGAGGATTGATTGCAGGGAACAGGACTCGAGTATGATAATGATGATCATGATACGACTCTTCTTGTCGAGATGGGAGGATGTCTCATGGTCGCTTGCATACCGGTACAACTACGGTATGTGTGTATGCAGTCCGAGGGAGGTCCAGCGTCGTCGCATCAACCAAATGAACCATATCTCTTTGGATTTTTGATAGAGGACAACGTCACGACGGACTCCTCGAGTACCCCGTACAGAATGGTGAGGTCAGCAGTGCAGAAGGTTTGAGCTTCGCGCCGGTGGCAGGGCAGAGCAGAGACGGGCAGGGCAGGGGCAGGAGAAAGTCGGGGGGGAGAAAGTAATGGTAGTGAGTGGGTGGTAGTAGTACTTGATGGTGATGTTACGGAGGTGACGTAGTAGACGTGGTAGTAGAGAGTAGTAGGGAGTAGTCGAAATGTTAAAAAGTAGTACTAGTAACAGTAACAGTAACAGTAACAGTAACAGTAACAGTAACAGTAATAGTAGTAGTAATATTGATCGTCCGTCGTACCGATGCAGAGGTAAGCTTCGAGTCGGGTTGAGAACTTCGGGTCCATCCTCTCTGTCTGTACTTGATCGATTCGGCAGATCATGCAAGCCCGTTGCGGTCTCTCTCCGTACGTGCCCCGTGCCCAGTGCCCCGTGCCCCGTGCCCATGCCCATGCACGTGCCCGTGCGCGTGCCATGGTCGAGAAGCGAAAGTGAGCTGTCTGGTCCCCCGTTACTCAGCATCCAGCCCGACATCTGGACTTGTGACCTGGGACCTGTAACGGATACTGCAAGGGCTTTCCCAGTATCGGTATTAGGTAGTACTACGTACGTCCCTGTATCCACCTACTCCTATCCCTATCAACATGCGTAGGTAGTATACTGACAGAGCTATAGCCAGAGATACGCTACACATGCAGATACACATACACATACACATACACATACACATACACATACACATACACACACACATAGGTACACATACACATACGGACACAGACACATAACCATCCCCAAGTCTAGTCCCCTCGGCATCGATCACCCGAGTCCGAGTCCGAGTCCGAATCCGAGACCAACAGCCGAGCTCGAGTCCACTCGAGTCATCATTAATTACACTTTTTTCCCCATCTCGTGGACACGAACGACGACATCCTGACTGCCTCTGCCTGACCGGGTAAGACCACGACCATCCGAGAGAGCTAGGTAGGAGGCAAGAAAGCAGGCAAGAGAGAGAAAAACAAGAAGAAAAAAGAGAACTACGTTACATACTCACTACTTTATTGACTACTTTGTTTTCCCTCTCATTCCTCGCTTCTTAATCACAACCCCCCCGTCTGCCTCTCCCACTCCAAGTCCAAGTCCAGCCCGCTCGTTCAAGTGGAGAGAATCTTTCTCCTCGTCAGCTGCACCATCTCTAACTGGTCTGTCTATCTGTCTGTCTGTCTGTCTGTCTTTATCTCCAAGTAAGCTTGTTATACCCGGCTGTCCCACATATCCAACCTTTCTCTCTTACCATGCGGAAAACCATTAGCTAATCCTATCTTTCGGCTCAAAGCTAGTCTCTCTCTCTCTCTCTCCCTCTCTCCCCCTCCTCATTCTCTCTCTCTCTCTCTCTCTCTCTCTCTCTTCTCTGGATTCGAAATTGAACACAAAAGGCGTGTCTATCTACACACCTCGTGCCATATGTTGACCAGCGCAAAGAAACGCTTGAATTCGGTCCAGCCGCCCTCCCCAAACTACCCACGATCGGATATGGTATAGAGCTACAAGACCAAAGTCTTAACCTCTGCAGAGACCCTGCCTACTTCGGCAGATCTACCAGTATCTTTTTAAACTTTCATAGTATTTGAATGGAAAGTGCGTTCCTGCGCTGCCATAAAACCTCGCGCCGGCCACAAACCGTCCAAAATCGCCCACGCCCACGCTCACGCTCACGCTCACGCCCACGCCCACCCACACGCAAGACGCTCCTTCCACCACCTGTCATTCTCAATCCGGATGCGGATTCCTTGAAGGGAGACGTTGGCGCAGCATCTTTCGAAGTAGGTGTTTTCCACACCTGCCTCGAAAGTGCTGCTGTCAACCATCAATCCCGAACGTCTTGGCTAGGCCACCAGGATGGCGCTGATCCTGCCCAAGGGCATTGTGGTCAACAGTGATCAGATCAACGACAGTATCCAGAGCATTGCGCTGGAGCCATTGGATGCGGCGGAGATAGCCAAGTTCTGGAAAGGTAGATCAGCACAGCTCTATGCTCTGTCGGAACACAACTAATGCCTATCCCTAACAGTATATACTACAACGAAAAGAAGACTGCTGGATCCTACTGCAGAGCGTTTGGAGAACTACTGGTGGCGAATATGGCACAGCGACAGGCAATACCTAGACGCGGCAACGATAGCTCGACTCTTCGCTCACATATCAGATGGTCCGACATTCATGCCACTCAGAGGACCTCCAAACCGACATGAAGGGCCGTCACCACCGGTATGCCCTGGTTCTCGCATACCGTGCCGTGCCGTACTGAACTAGGATATTAGAACAGAAGTATGCATCAGCATAGGCCTGGAACCTCGAGTACTACTGCTCTGCAACAGCCTCCCCCTAGTGGACCTAGCATAGGGACGACTACAACGGCGAGGTCTAAAGCCCCAGTCCCCATGCCGCATCCTATCTTGAAAAAGACGCGAGGCCCATCCACTGGTGGACCCCGCCCGACCGCTCGATTTATCTCACCCCATGAGTCCGAACACGAGAAAGAAGACACTTCCCCGGCCAGTCCAATCTCCCACGTCGCCATGCAACCTCCTTCGCCGGACCCGAAAGATGCAAAGCCTGACAAGAAACCACTCGGTACAGGGAGTAAGAAAAAAGCTGGATTTATGGCCTCGAAGAAGAAACGACCGGTTATTGTCAGACGCCAGAGCTCTCTGTCGTCTGCAGATGCTGCAGCGAAAGAAGCTGAAGCCTCACAAGCGGCTGTCGGATTTCCATCCTCTCTGGACCCGCCTCCAAAGAATTCTGGCAGAATTCAGTCAAAGTTTCAGGAGAACTTCTCACCACCCCCGGAAAGGTTTAGAGGGCCGAAGAAGCGACTAGGCGAATTGAAAAGAACTTCACCACGAAAACCAGCGTCAGGAAAAGGACGTGCGGCGCCCCACCAGCGATTATCTGAAGGAACGGTGGCTACTCCAGGTGGTGACCCCGGTCCATCGACACAACTTTGCCGCATAGAAAATCGTCAGAGTGCTGAGGAAGTACCAGAGGAGCCCACCCCGGAAGAACTCGAGGAAGTCGAGGAGGAAGTCGAGGAGGAACTCGAGATGCAGAGAATTCTTCTCGCAGAAGCGAATGCTCGTGTACAGAAGCGACGTCCCAAGCCAGGACCAGAGTCTTCCGAACATATGCAGAGCAAATCTGTACGGTCTAAATCAGCGGGAAACCTCGGTCTTATGTGTAACGACCACAAAGGTTCTCCCAGTCTGGCGCCTTCCCTTGCAGCCGCCACCGGACTGGTGCTTGGAACATCTCCTTCTGGACCCCGCGACATCCAGCGCTCGACGAGACGCATCCCCGAAGGCAAGGGCAAGGGGAAAGAAATCGAAGATGATGAGGCAGGCCCGCTAGAAGATGTCTTTGCTAGAATACCCGTGCCACGAGCGAAATCGACATCGGGGGTCGAGGCACTGAGTAGAAGCAAGAGCCAACTGACGCTGTTGCTGAAGCGGGATGAGGAGAAGGCGAGTCGGAATAGCGAAAAGCATGGGAATGATAAGGGGAAGGGCAAGTTGTGGTGAAGGGGTGAAAAGCAGGTCTTAAGGGTCAAGAGCGCAGGCTGTGTACATGTACGAGGTACGGAAGAACACGTGGTGGTTTTTGGGAGGGGGAATGGGTACCGGCAAAAGTCTTGGCGGCTGATTATATTTTTGGTGAAGCGAGCTAGCGAGCTGTGTTTTGTTTGCTGAGTTTGACTTGGCTGAGCGAAAATTGCGAATCAAAAGAAGGAATGCGTACATAACATGGGCTCATAGGATTGGACTGGCTGCATTGCTATGGCGTTGGAGGGAAGCGAAGCGAGACACTCGCGAGATTAGAAGGAAGGAAGTGGAAGGAAGTGGGTGGGTGGGTGAGAGAGTGAGTAGTTGTTCATAGCCGAATAAAAGTATATACATAACACCCTACCACGCTGTCTGGCCTGTCCAGCCTGCCTGGACTTGGTAGGGAAAGTACGTAGTAAGTGAAGTGAAGTGAATAGACAAGGATATATAAATAGGCAGATGACAGAGCTTGCTGTCTTGTTCTCGCCCTGTCTCATGTTTAAATGACACTGAAACGCGCATCGTCGGTCGTTGCTCGAGAATCTGAAATGTAAAAAAAATCGGAAGTGATGGTCGTAGTGCTATTGTGAACCTTCGTGTCTTTTACAAAGGGGGAAGGGGGGGGGGGGGCGACCTGTGAGAGAGATAGAACCCATCTGTCTAATCTACATTCTGAAGACGCCGAATCTGGTCGGCTCCGGTTCGTTTTTCCCGCCCAGTGCTGCCATTAGGCTCAGCCCTAGCACGCGTCGGGTGTGGCTGGGTGGGATCACACCATCGTCCTGTTCACACGGGTTAGCATGTATATCACAGACTTTGATAAATGGGAGAGAGGGTCCGCTAAGAGAGGAGAGAGGAGAGAGGAGAGAGGAGGATATATGTTGAGCGAGCCCCAAAAACAAAGGGGGGATAACATACCCATAGCCTAGCGGACGAGAAAACAGCCTCACTCTCCCGCTCGATCCTTGCCTTCAGTTCCGGATCCACGCTCTTGCCCACCGTCTCCATAACCGCACTCAGCTGCTCACCACCCATAACCCCAATCTTGGCATTCGGCCACATCCACATGAACCTAGGACTGTAGGCCCGCCCACACATCCCGTAGTTCCCCGCTCCGTTGCTGGCTCCCACGACGACGGTAAATTTCGGCACGTTGGCACAGGCTACTGCTGTGACGAGCTTTGCGCCGTTCTTGGCGATGCCTTCGCGCTCGGCGTCGGTGCCGACCATGAACCCCGAGATGTTTTGCAGGAAGATGAGAGGGATGTTGCGCTGTGAGCAGAGCTCGATGAAGTGCGCGCCTTTCAGCGAGGAGGCGGAGAATAGAATGCCGTTGTTGGCGACGATGCCGACTTTGTGGCCGTAGATGTGGGCGAAGCCGGTCACAAGCGTGTTGCCGTAGTCGCGCTTGAATTCAGAGAACTCGCTGCCGTCTACGATTCTCGCGATGATTTCATGGATGGGGAGTGGTTTGCGGAGATTGGTGCTTGCAATGCCGATCAGTTCTTCGGGGTCGTGTAGGGGCTCAACGTAGCTTGTGGGAGGGGGGAAGGGTTTAGAGGGCCAGTTCAGGTTGGAGATTGAGCGGCGAGCGAGGATTAGGGCGTGTGCGTCGTCGACGGCGAGGTAATCTGTTACGCCCGAGACGGAGGTGTGCATCTTTCCGCCGCCTAGGTCTTCAGCTGATACAACTTCGCCGGTTGCGGCTTTCACAAGAGGAGGGCCGGCAAGGAAGATGTGACCTTGGCCGTCCACGATGATTGATTCGTCGGACATGGCTGGCACGTAGGCGCCGCCTGCGGTGCAAGGTCCCATTACAACGGCTATTTGGGGGATACCCATTGAGCTCATACGAGCTTGGTTGAAGAAGATGCGGCCAAAGTGTTCGCGGTCTGGAAAGACGTCTGCTTGGTGTGGGAGGTTTGCTCCGCCAGAGTCGACCAGGTACACGCATCTGATAGTCGGTCAACATCGTGTTACCAACATTTCTTGGCTTAGATACTTGGTACTTACGGGAGCTTGTTCTCTTGCGCGATGGCCTGGGCTCTCAAATGCTTCTTTACTGTGATGGGGTAATATGTGCCTCCCTTCACAGTACTGTCATTTGCAACAATCATGCAAGTAACACCTTCAATGACTCCCACTCCGGTGATGATTCCACCAGCAGGTACGTCGGCCTCCGGATACAGCTCATGGCCAGCAAGAGCCGACAACTCCAGAAACGAAGTACCGGGATCAATCAATGCTGCGACTCGGTCTCTGGGAAGCATTTTCTTCCTGGCAATATGCTTCTCCCTTGCCTTGGGCGGTCCTCCCTTGTGGATCTTGCTCATGAGCTCGTCTAGCTTGAACATGACTTCGCCCATTTGCCTAGCATTTTCCTTATATTCCTCAGAGGATGGATCAACGGCCGTCGGCAGGACTGATATGGCATTGGCCTGGCTGGGCGTGCAATGGTTTGCAATAGTCCTAGAAGATCCAACAGACAGAGCGAGTCCCCGTGTCGCGGGTCTCGGTATGCGCCTCGAAAGACCCACGGCCGCTCGAGAGACTCTCAAGCTGGACATGGCGTGTGAAAAGAAGAAGATGAAGCTGAAGCTGCAGCGCCAAAAGATATCCGAGTTCTACATCGATGCCCTGGAGGTTTTGAAGTTGAGGTTTGATGTTGATGGTGTCGTATAGAGCACGTGCCTCGTTGAAAGGAAAGCATCGGGTCATCCATCCATCGGCTTAAGGAAGGGGTGGCGGTAATGGTACGTAGTAGTAAGTACCGTTACCGACGAGCCAAACGCGGGGTACCTAGGGTGACAGGGGCGGGCCGGGGAAAACTAAGTAGCCAAGTAGGTACTTAATTAAGCCTTAAGTCTTAGGTCTTCTCCACCGACCTCAAAGAAATACCCCGATCTCCCGTTTCTCTACTCTCTCCGTGTACATCTTTTCATACAAAAAACACATATAAAACTCAATAAAATGGCGACGGCGAGGTGTATTCGATCATTGACGACACGCCCAACCGTGGCGCTCAAGCTCAGACCCCAAATCCCAGTATTAGTCACCGGTATCCAACATCGGAATGCCTCTTCCAAACACCCTAAAGGCTTCGAAGCACCAACCTCAACGGATCTTGACGAACTCCGGGAACGAGTCCAGGAATTCGCAAGAAGAGAAATATCGGAGGAGGTTGCGTCCACAACCGACAAGTCCAATGCCTTCCCCAACGAGATGTGGCAGAAGCTTGGAGACGCGGGCTTTCTTGGGATAACCGCGGATGAAGACGTTGGTGGTTTAGCCATGGGCTACCAGGCACATTGTGTTGTCATGGAAGAGATATCGAGGGCCTCGGGCTCCATTGGGCTGAGCTACGCTGCACACTCACAACTTTGTGTGAACCAACTACAGTTGAATGGGAATGCGGAACAGAAGAAGAAATTCATGCCAGGATTGATCACCGGAACGAAGATTGGCGCTCTGGCCATGTCGGAAAGTGGAGCTGGGAGTGATGTTGTTAGTATGAGGACAACGGCTAAGGCTGTTGACGGCGGCTACGTCCTGAACGGTACCAAGATGTGGATCACCAACGGGCCGGATGCCGACCTTATTGTTGTCTACGCGAAGACCGAGCCGGACAAGGCCTCGAAAGGCATTACAGCATTTTTGGTTGAAAAGAAGTTTGAGGGATTCAGCTGTGCCCGCAAACTCGATAAGATGGGGATGCGTGGGAGCAATACCGGAGAACTGGTCTTCGACGGAGTGTTCGTCCCGACGGAAAATATTCTCGGGGAGATCAACCGTGGTGTCAAAGTTCTGATGGAAGGCTTGGATCTCGAACGGCTTGTCCTGAGTGCTGGTCCACTTGGAATAATGCAAGCCGCTCTGGATGTCACGCTTCCATTTACCCACCAAAGAAAGCAGTTTGGAACACCAATTGCCCACAACCAATTGGTTCAAGGCAAGCTTTCGGACATGTACACAAAGCTCCAGGCGTCTAGAGCATATACTTATGATACCGCGAGAAAGGTCGATGAGGTGGGCCTGATCCGCACCCAGGATTGTGCTGGTGCTATCATGTATGCGGCGGAACGTGCGACAGAGTGCGCGCTTGATTGCATACAGCTGCTGGGTGGGATGGGCTATGTTGAGGAGATGCCTGCCTCGAGGCTATTGAGAGAGTGAGTCCCGTCTCGCCTGGACGAAGTGGAAAGAAGCGTACTAAATCCGAGCAGCGCGAAGCTATATGAGATAGGTGCAGGCACTACCGAGGTTCGGAAGATCGTGATTGGAAGGGTAAGACACATATCACCAATACCGTTCACAAACTGACAGACACCCAGGCATTCAACAAGGAGTACAGCAGCTATGCATTATGAGCGCTCTGGGGCTTCAAGAAGATGGGTTATCTAGAGCGATGAGGGAACGCGACTCAGAGTCCCTTATCGCATTCATGCATGCAATGTTGGACAAAAAATGTATGCCATCTCTTGTTTTTCAGAACCCCTCCCCTCCCGCCTAGGGTGCCTACATCCACATATTCCTTTCTGCTCAGCTCAACCGGGAAATTTTATCCCCTTCCACAAATGTACTTTATTATCGCTTCGCGAGTTCTTTTTTTGCTAGAAGCTGGTTCGGCCTTTGCTTTTCTCTCTCTCTTTTTTGATCCCGTCTTGCCTTATCTTGTCTTTTAGTTTTGGTTTTGGCTTGACGGGGTTAAGCGAGGACCCCTTTCCTGGGAGCCGAGCCGAGCTGGAATTGGTTGGTTTCGAGCGGGTAAGCTCGAGGAGGGTCAAATTGAGGTAGAAGTAGAAGGTCCGCGGTAGGTGGGTTTCTTTCTTTCTTTGTTTTTCTGGTTTCAATAACAGAAGAGGATACGGGGGGAGGAGGAGGGTGTGTGCTCTTTGTCAACCCGAGGGGCCAGGCTACTCGGAGGATACCAATGAGATCTTGGCTATTGAGGAACAATATCTGTTTCTCAAATCGGTACTCATAGGCTCCGTCTGGTTTGATATCAAGGATCGATTCTTTACTATGATATCATGTATACTTAGTTTCTGCCATTGTCCTGTCTCCTCTTTTTTGTATCCTGTTTCAGTGCTCGCGAGTCACATTTCTCTTTACTTCCTCCACTTCAATAACTTCGAGTGGGTACCGCCCTCTTCGTCGCACTCACCGTGCCAGACGTAATCGGGCACCGCAAATATGCCGTCTGCCAGCTCGTCCAGCAGCCCCCATCACAAGTCCTCAAACAACTACCCGACCCTTCGGTTAGCACACCCACCAGAGACACCACCTTTACCCCGGGAACAGATTCTCACCTCGTGACCGTTTCGACAGCAGTGCACCCACAGCTAAGCGTGAGGCTGCCCGTCCTCTCACACCGACTGTACGTAAACGGACACCCTTCCGTCCAGCACGCCGGCCCCTCCGTCGCCGTGATTGTCTTGCACGAATCCGGTTGCGGTTGCAGTGTCCGAGTCGCAGTCGGAGTAGGTATAGGTTCCGGTGGTGGCGGCGTCGAAACCGACGGGATCTTTTTCGCGCTCGACGTGGAAGGACGGCATTGGGGCGGCAGCACAGTGCTGATATATGTACCGCATGTGCCGCGGCAAGCATTCGGACACGGCGTGACGACGGCCGATGTTGGAATCGTGGTGGGACAGCCGCAGGGGACGGTGATGGGGGATACGAGGATGCAGTCGGGTTGGGGGCATACGGAGGGGGTGGTGGGTGGGCAGGAGGTTGGTGTGGTGAATTTAGTTATTGTTGGGCAGGTATTGGGGGGTCGATGGGAGTTTCTGGCGAGGAGGGGGGTGGTAAGAAGACTAGAGAGTTCGGTTAGTTAGTTGGAGGGTTGGGAGGGGAGAGGGGAGAGGGAGAGGGGAGAAGGCTTACGTTAGGAGGTAGATAAAGCTCGGGAAGAGCTGGAGAGGTGCCATTGTACTGTGAAGGTAAATGGATAGTTGACTGCTCTTCCAATCAGGTAAACATCGGAATCCGAATCGAAGTCAAAGTCTTAGAGCTGAGTTCTTGCAGAAGAGGAAAGAACGATCTATCTTTAATCCCCTCATCACGACTCTCCGTTTCCGATTACCCCGACTCCATTATCCTCGCCAGCTCCAGCACGAATAAGCTCTCTTCCCACTCAGTTCGAAGGATTCTTCATGTCACCGCTTTGCTTTGGACACGAGATCTGTATTCCCGTCAGTTGGCTCAGAGGAGTCTCAAAGAAGGAATGTCGTCAAGCAGGTGATCTGACCGGCAGCAAAAAACCGCCAAAGACATATGTGCTCGATACGACTTTGAGGGAAGATTTATGCACATACCCGCTGCATGATCTACCGGAGTTCGAGCGTTCACGTCGTATGAACGAACTTCTTAGACTGCCACAGTAAGGATGAATGACGGCGAGGGCATATCTCTTGCAACAATATACAGTATATGAAGCTAGGATGCAAGCCCACTCTCGAGTAGATTAAAGTTGTGGATTTCGAGGAAGGATGCGTTCAATCCCCGATGTGTCGGTTTACTCGCCCGATGCATAGTGCCTCAAATGCCCCTTCATCGAGACGCCTGAGACCAGGCTTCGCACATCTGGGTATTATATGTGAGCGTATTCGACGTCTCCGAGTATTCTTTGCGACATCAAATCTATATTCAATATCTGGGGCTGAACCTCCATCGCATATTGGGCATGGCGTATGTTCACACCCCGGCATCCCGGATTCTCACCAGCACTCGGTCTGCTCACAATTTGCTCTTTGGATCAAAGTCCGGCCCAGAGCCTTGTAAATTTGTCGTAGGATCCTCTTGCACGGTGCCATTCTCACAGCAAGAAATTTTCCGGGTCAGCTAGAACCGAAGGAGTGTTCTTCGAGCCCGGGACGTCGATAGCAGGGTTTGCAGTGAAGAAGTCTGCTGGTCGGAGATGCAGTTGGTGGATCTCGACTGGCATGACGGGCCATTCTTCAACTCGTGGGTTGTGCTAGACATTCATTAGCTCTGACGAGGCTGTCAAATGATAGCTTGAATCAAACCCGCCGTCAGTCCGAAAACGTTCCAAACCACAACATCGTCATTCTCGATATTTCATCCCTTGCAACTGCGTCTGAGAGGCCGTCAACTTCTTTCTGGCTCTGGTTTGTGAATTCGCCACCGGCCCAAATTTTCCGTCTTTGTACTTTGTGACCCAGACGTGGTGAGTTGTAAATTGTGCCCGCTTAGCCATGGTACCTTCTGGGTGTGCTAGCAATAATTGTGTGGCCGATGGGATGAACTTATAAACCACGGGCTTTCCAGACACTGGATTCAGCTTCGATGGATTGGTTATCTTTATGGTCAAATTCGTGAATGGCAAAGCATCGAGGTAATGTGATTTCTTGATTGGTATTTGTCGGACCTAAGGTTCAAGTCAGCACGGTTTGCAGTGATTTCTCTCTGATCGAAAGATTGAAGCGGGCGAATTTTCATACCTCGTATCCACTGCCATAAGGATTGATCTTCTATGACATGGGCATCGGAAGACTTTCCTCAGCAACAACTGTGTTGTTGAGTCCATCAATTGCAGGATCAATACGGATGCAGAAAAGATGTTGATGATTTTGCGCTAAGGCTCCTGAAGAGACGACATTTCCCCAGGGACTAGTCTTGCCTGGATCAATATTCACCACGGAGACAATGCCCGTTGCCCTCGTCTCAACTGTAATGCCAACTGTAATGCCACCTGCTTGGTCGAGCTTGTCGGCGAAGATGTATTCGTAATTCGCAAGTGTGTGATGAACTGTACTACCAGTTCGCGCAGTCGAATGACAACTGCCCTGCTGGTTCTGAAATTCGTCTGCTTCCATCCGATCCCATTGTCCTGCTCGTGGAGACATACCACATTCTTGCTTAAAATTGCCTTTCCGTCGGGGTCTGTCAGAACAGCATCGAAATACTTAATCGTGCCCAAACAGTCACAACCAAGAGGAAGATTGTTGGCCGCACGTCCAGCTCTTGCGTCTCCAGAATCAAAAGCTTGCTTCCTTTGGAAGAGGGGTCTCGGATCTCCGTAAGGAACAGTCATCTCGCCTAGAGAAAGCCTGTAGAGAACGATACGACCGTCGTATCGAACATCATGGAGTGTTGCACCCTCTCGAGGGTTAAAGCCGACTCTAAATCTCCACTTTTGCCATTGAACCAGGTTCCCGTTTACTTGAAACGATGGTCCTTCCGGTTGAGTGACGTTCAATGGCTTGACATTGGTACGAAGTGGTTGAGAAAGTAGCTCAGGAACATATTTAGATGGCGCACAGTGGTCAATGACGTTCTTCTTGTGCGTCCCGTACGACAGGCCGTCCTCCTTTCCACCTGTGGCCAAAGAGTCTATGCGTACAATTACTATGGTGTAGCTGTCCATAACAGAGATAATAGGGAGTGGGTATCCGTAGCGATTTGAATCTTCGTTTCCAGAACGAGCATCTTTGGCAAAGCACAAGCCCTGGGTATAGCGAGGCGCGATCTCTGAAGGATCTGGTCGTCCGTATGGCTACTAGGTATTGGGTCAGCCTAGAGAAATTTCAAATAGGCGCGGGTTGAGAAGTACAGAATCAACGGTGACCACGAAACCTTCTGGGAGGTCGAATTCAGACACCGCTTTCTTGAAGAGTGGCGGCTCACACACGCTTCGCTAAGCTCTCCGAATTCGTGGCTGTGATGGTCAGCCCTACTCGATCCAAAATGGGGATACAAAACAGCGACGGGGAATAGATGGCACGTTTCAGTCAATGATCTTAAATTTTACACCTTAGATTCCATGAAGTCACGACTTACGATGTCAACGACCCGTGATGCACCTTGTCGATGATCCGCTGGTGAACCTCCTTGCCGGAAGCGATATCCACACAAGACTCCATGTATTCAGCTCTTCGATCTGCTTGGAGCACATCATATTGGATTTTTGCTATTCGAGCTGGCCGGGAACTCCACTGGGTAAGTTTCCCGGCGTTTTAAACTCTAGGAAGCGAAATAGCTCATGTTTGGGTGGTTCTTGGAGGAAGATTGAACGAAAGTTGATCGCCACTTGGGAGCCTCGCGCACTGAGAATGACTTCACGAGCAGGTCGGATTCCACAATGGAGAGTTGGTCGAGAGGATGAAGGAGGGTTTTTGCTCCGTCTGGCCGTAACTGGCCTGTCGTTGTTGGCTCCGCAGACATGTTGGGATAGGAGAAGGGTGGTGGATGGGTCTGGATGGGTCAGGCAGTGAGGATCTGGTTGAGTGAGAGGGCTGAGAGAAAAAAGGGATCTAATTTTGGAAGAGGGAGAGAGGGAGAGAAAGAGAGAGACAAAGAAGAAACGAACTGATCAGACCGGAGATGGTACTTATGTGGTTAGTTGGTTGAATCTAGTCAACATCGATTAGTAGCTAGGTAGGTCGATGAAGTCCTGCCTGCCACTCCGGATCCCACTCCGGATCCATCCCTCTCTCGGGCCACGATCCAGTCGTTTAAGGATTGATTCGTAGGGGGCTCTAAGGCCCGATATGGAAGTTCCAGCCAGACATGACATGAAGGGTATACGGAGGTAATACGTGATGGATGATATACTGTAATTTTGAAGTAAGTCCATGACTGATAAAGGGTGATTCAGCTTTGATACAAGTACCTAGGGTTGTGATTCGAAAGAGATCGGAGCTTATTAGTAATCCGATAATTATCTATCTACCGGTACCTACCTACCTACTGGTATATGCCTACGGACAGTGTCCCCATGTCGAAATTCATCCAAGTACTAATCGTCGGCTCGCTTAGGTGGGCCTCCTTTCATCCTTTCAGTCTTAGTCGGCATAAGCGATTGCGGATCGGAAGCGAATGCGGATTTTTTCGAATATGTTAGAAATTCTTTAATACTATAGCATTTACTATTACAATAAAGAAATATTTACATGAATAATTAATCGTTTGTTATACCGTCTTCCGAAACATTTAAAATCGTATCATCCGATAAGATATCTGACTATCGATCATTATTTTCATTAGAATTTGATTCGTCTCTTACCTTTCGCAACGAATCGTTTGAATCTCTATTACTATTAGAATTGAAGCCATCGCTATCGATATTAATACTAGGAAAAGGAATAATATCTTGCTTTAAAGAAAGGTCTCCGGTAGTATCGGTTATAATCATTAGATTATCATCATCGAGAAAAGGTTCAGGTTGAGAAAGAGTTGGTCGAAGAATACCTTTTTTACGAGGCCGTAGAATTTGACGTTTAAAAGGTTGTTGCATCTACTAAATCTCTTTCGAATCGAGAATTGGAATGAGTATTGAATCGTCGTCTTTAATAATTAAGCTTGCAGCAAGGCGTTTTCGTATAGTCCTTTTGCGCTCGCGTTTAGCTTTGCGTGATTCGACTCTTTTACGATACTTAGCATCTCTTTCCTCTTTTTAAAGCTTGTCGACGATTCGTTGTTGTTTTGCAGCAGATTTAAGATTTGCTTTAGCTTCTTGCTTAGCAGCAAGCTTATTATTAACTTGAGATGTTAAGCCTTCGGTGTGATGAAACTATTTGCGACTTTTTGTTTTGCTTTTTAGTTGGTCTTTTCGTTGTTGAGCGAGAATAGCTAATTCTTGTTCTTGTAAAGTAGCTTTTATTGCAACTTCTCGAGTACCTTTTATGTAGGATTCGAATTCTTGTCGAGAAGGACTACTTAATAACTCGTTGCATTTATTTTGCCACTTCTACGAGCTGATTTCGATATGCGCTGGTTTCCGAGGAGTACGAAGAAGCTTTGGCTCGTCTTTGTTTACGTATTCGAGAGGCGTAAAGGTCTTGAGATTTTTTAAACATTGCGTTGCGTTCGGTAAGTACATTTTAAACTTCTTTTAAGCTTTTTTGATATTGTATCGATTGAGTGTTTGATTGCGAATATGGTCGAGATCGTTTAAGAAAGAATTGATTGTATACTCGACGTCGAGCTGTGCAAGCGCAGCTTTAATCGCTAAGTCGTAGTAATGCTTATAAGGTTGGAAAATCCTTACATCAAGAGGTTGCATGCAATGAGTGAGGTGAAGAATCAACGGGTACGGTAGAATGTGATTTTTGTTAGCTAAATTGATGAATTCCGGAGTCCGGTAGCTAGCGTGATTATCTATCAATATAAGCTTTTAAGGTTTATTCGGTCTATAATCTGCGTTTTTGATATAATGCTCGAGGTATAGCAATGCGATTTTATTGTCCGTGAATCCATTATCAGCTTCTTTAATAAGTGTGCTTGTAGGAAGGTTCGAAACGAACCATTGCTGCATGAGTCGTTTGCCTTGAATAAGAATCATCGGAGGAACAGGTTTTTGGCTAGTCGCATTGATCATCTCGATTATTGTTACGGATCTTCGATTCTTAAGGCTAACACTGTAGAATTATATATAAAAATTAATATATAATATTAAATAAGTTATATAATACGATATAGCACGACATACCTCTTAAATAGATCCAGGAACTAATACTTCCGTTCCTCGCGGACAGCTAATACGGAACTCAGTCTCGTCGAAATTGATGATATCTTTAGGTCGAATATTCATCTTCTTCAAGGTGCGTCGATAGCTTTTGAACCACTTGTGTATCGCGTTCGTGTCTTGCGCTGATATTCGGATTCGAGCGAGAGGTTTGGTCTTGATTTTGTGGAGGCCACTCGTTTTCTATCACTTTGTAAACTAGCTTTAGCTCTGCGGCTTCGCGTATTTATCGTATGTTTTGCGTAAGGCGAATATAACGTTATAGATCAATTGCGGTGTAAGAGTAAGCCAATTAGCAAAGAGCTGAACGATGAATTAGCGTAACGCGTTGATATGCCAGCTTTGCAAGATTTTATTTTGACCGCCGCGCTTGCGATTTTTCGGTCGCTTAAGGTGACTGTTCAATGTGCGCTCATTGAGGTCGTATATACGCGCAACAGTTTTTTGAGTCTCTTGAGGGTATTCGGACAAGAAGGTTGTAGCGCGTTGGAGACGCGTCGCAAGATCTTCAATTGCATTAGGACTACTTGGTTGAGCGTGGCTTTTGTATTGAAAAATCCTTGAAGGCTTCTTCGAGCGAGTGCGTTTTCGGCCTATAATTGATTGTAGAATGCGATTGAATTGTGCGGTGGTAGATCAAAGAATGATGTTGTAAATTGTATTTTGTATACAAAAACTAGTAGCAAAATAAAAAAATCCGCATTCGCTTCCGATCCGCAATCGCTTATGCCGACTAAGACTGAAAGGATGAAAGGAGGCCCACCTAAGCGAGCCGACGATTAGTACAGAGTCATATTTACAAAGTTTGCGCCGAACCAGCCTCCCCGGTATAAAAAGATCAACGCACGGGGACTTGACGAAATTACCCCTCCATGCTAAGTAAATTATGTGGTCACGTGAGGAGGGGTCAACGCAGTTCCCTTGCTCGAGGAAGAGGAAGAAAGAGGAGGCAGTAAGGTGAAGGCGAAGGTGAAGGCGAAGGTGAAGGCGAAGGTGAAGGCGAAGGTGAAGGCGAAGGTGAAGGCGAAGGTGAAGGTCACTCTTACTTACTTACTTGCTTGCTTGCTTACACTACGGTGCCGCCACGGTCACGGTGCCACAAACACGAGAGGGAGGACGTCGAAATGTGTTGGCTTGACATGCGTTGTACTTTTAAAAGACGTGTTCGTTGATAGACCGCTTGCTCATCCGATGCGGGCATGATCATGAGCGCGGGACGAGCTTGCTTCCTCTCTGGAGGCCTCTCTGGAGGATGAATTTGATTTGCTTTGCTCCAATAGTACAAACATGAGATTGGAAATGCTTGAATACTTGAACCGGGAGTAAATTATTACTGCCGAGTCGTATCTTGTGTATCAGAACCGAGTAGAAAGGGAAGCCAAGGGCGGGTACAACAATAACAACAACGAAAACTTTTACATCCTGCCTTCGTCTTCCCCTTCCCCTTACCCTTCCCCTTCCCCTTCCCTTGCCTTGCCCTTCCCCCTACATATGGAATAAGCATCGCCGTCTATTCTATCCCATGCATCCGTTGTGTGCATGTACCACGACGATTCTAGACTTTGCATTTCCAATAAGTACCTACCTAGCATACATACAGTACTACTCGTGCCCCTGAAACGTGATACGATCAACCGACCCGACTTTCAAGCAAGCTCGACTGACTTGCTTACCGCTTTCCCGTTGCAGAAAAAGGCGTCTCCAGCCATCCACACAGGCGACCAAAAATAAAAATAAGAGGGCAACGACATACTCTGCTCTTCTACTCGCCACACATACGCAGATAACGCGGCGCATTCGCAGCAGACCTCGAGATGGATGTGGCTGTATTGAGAGGTCGCATTGTCGCGACGCTCAGTCCAGAGGCCGACCTGCGACGACGCGCAGAATTGGACTTGAAGACTGTAAGCAAGCAAGCAAGCAAGCAAGCAATCCCGCGCCGGGCCAGGGCGGAAGAGGAGATCCAAGTTGACCACTTTGAGGCAGGCCGAAGAACACACCGGCTTTACCGATGCCCTTCTCGAGATCCTGCAAAATGAACAGGAGGCTTCCGTTCGCATGTCGAGTACGCCGCCATCAAACCCCTACCCCGCTGCTTCCACAAGAACTAACGCACGACTGCAGCGGTTGTTTACCTCAAGAACCGCGTCACAAGGGGATGGGACACGGCCTCCGATGCGCAGAATAAGCCTATTGCCGAAGACGAGAAGGAAAGATTTCGACAACGATTACTGCCCGTCCTAGCATCCTCCCAGTCTCAGATTCGATCACAACTCGTCCCCATCCTCCAGAAAATTCTTCACTACGATTTCCCCGATAAATGGCCTTCGTTTGTCGATATCACGCTCAGCTTGCTCAACACCAACGATGCCGCCTCTTTATTCGCAGGCTTGCAGTGCCTACTTGCGATTTGTCGCGTTTACCGATTCAAGGCTGGCGAGAACCGAGGCGACTTCGACAAGGTCATCCAATTGACGTTTCCTAGACTGTTGGTTATTGGACAAGGATTGGTCAATGAGACAAGTGAGGAGGCGGGCGAGATGCTCCACGTCGTGCTGAAGGCATTTAAGCATGCAACTTTCGTAGGTTTTGGTCGACAGAGGGATTAACCGGCAAAAATACTGACAAAGTTTAGTTTGAGCTTGCTCCTTCCCTCAGAGAGCAATCAGTGGTGATCGGATGGTGTTCTATTTTCTTACAGACAGTTGCAAAAGCTGCGCCGGAATCTGCCATGCCAGCAGATCTGGCAGAACGAGAGGCAAACCACTGGTGGAAGGCCAAGAAATGGGCTTACTTCAATCTCAACCGCCTTTTTGTCCGGTAAGTCTAGCCTGCATCATTTACCTAGCTTTGCTGACTATGGAAGTTATGGTAATCCATCATCGTTACAAAAGGGCAACGGCGACGACTACAGTGCTTTTGCCAAAGACTTTACTGCCAACTTTGCTCCCGAAATTCTCAAGGGGTATCTGCGACAAATCGAGCAATGGGTGGCCAAAACAATATGGCTCAGTAGACCATGTCTATCATTCACTCTCGTTTTCCTCGATGAGTGTGTCCGACCCAAGGAAATGTGGAACCATCTCAAGCCACATCTTGATTCCCTCGTGACTCACTTCCTGTTCCCCGTTCTGTGCCTTAGCCCCGAAGATGTCGAGAAGTTCGAGACAGACCCCGAGGAGTACCTCCACCACAAGCTCAACTTCTACGAAGAGGTTTCCTCGCCTGATGTTGCTGCTACAAATTTCTTGGTTACGCTTACCAAAGCCCGAAAGAAGCATACGTTTACTATTTTGACTTTCGTCAATACGATTGTCAGCGAATATGAAGCGGCGGAGGACAGTAAGAAGAACCACATCGCAAAGGAGGGTGCTCTACGCATGATTGGAACTCTTTCCAGCGTCATCCTGGGGAAGAAGAGCCCAATCGCCGAGCAAGTAGAGTACTTCTTGGTTCGTTTTGTTTTCCCGGATTTCCGCAGCACCCAAGGATTCCTCCGTGCGAGAGCTTGCGATACCGTGGAGAAATTTGAGCAGCTTAACTTCAAAGACACCAACAACCTCCTCGTTATCTACCGCAACATTTTGGAATGTATGGCAGACCCAGACCTCCCTGTCCGTGTTGAGGCTGCCCTTGCACTTCAACCGCTGATCAGGCATGATATCATTCGAAAGAATATGCAAGCGAACATCCCCCAAATTATGCAACAGCTCCTCAAGCTCGCGAACGAGGTTGATGTCGACTCTCTGTCCAATGTCATGGAGGACTTTGTTGAGGTCTTTGCGGCTGAGTTGACACCATTTGCGGTCGCACTAAGCGAGCAGTTGCGGGACACATACCTGCGAATCGTGCGAGAACTCCTGGAGAAGAACGAAAAGCGGGACGACGACGAGTACGGTGACTACTTTGACGACAAAAGTATCACTGCCTTAGGTGTCCTGCAAACGATTGGCACTCTCATCCTTACTTTGGAGAGCACGCCCGATGTTCTGCTGCACATGGAGTCAATCCTGATGCCAGTGATCAAGGTGACATTGGAGAACAAGCTCTACGGTTAGTCATAAGTTTCTTCATCGTGGGTTATCAAATTACTAACTCAATCCAGATCTATACAATGAAGTCTTCGAGATTATCGACAGCTGCACGTTTGCCGCCAAGTCCATTTCCCCAACAATGTGGCAAGCTTTCGAGCTCATCCACGCCACGTTCAAAGCGGGTGCTGAGCTCTACCTTGAAGACATGCTCCCAGCTCTCGACAACTTTGTTCAGTACGGAGCTGCCCACCTCGTCCAAACTCCTGCGTACCTTGATGCGATGTTCGGTATGGTACAGGATATGTTCGCGGATGAGAAGGTTGGTGGCGTTGACAGAATTTGTGCCTGCAAATTAGCCGAGGGTATCATGTTGAGTCTCCGTGGCCACGCCGATCAATACGTTCAGCACTTTATCGGAACCGCTATGCGCACTCTGACGAACGCTGAAGTGAAAGTCAAATCCTACAAGATTCATCTGATGGAGATGGTAATCAACGCCATCTACTACAATCCTGTATTGGCACTACACATTCTGGAGTCGAACGGATGGACAAACAAATTCTTCAGTTTGTGGTTCTCCAACATCGATAGCTTCACAAGAGTCCATGACAAGAAGCTCTCAATCTCGGCTATTGTTGCTTTGCTTACTCTCAATGCCGACCAAGTACCCACGAGTGTGCAGCAAGGCTGGCCAAGATTACTCCAGGGCATTGTCAGACTTTTCCAGACTCTCCCAGCCGCCACAAAGAATCGGGAAGAGGCTCTCAAAGACGACTATCCTGTTGACGGTGATGCTTTCGATGATGATGAGGAGGATGAGTGGGCCGGTGACAATAATAGTTGGGATGACGAGAATGATGCTGGTGCAGAAGAGGGCGAGGTCAAAGACGAGAGCACCGCCTACCTTGAGTTTTTGAACGAGGAAGCACAAAAATTCCAGAACCTCGAGGATGGCGACTCTGATGATGAGCTAGGCGAGGAAAGCCTTCTCGAGACTCCACTTGACAAGGTCGAACCATACCAGCTTTTCCGAGATGCACTCCTAAGTAAGTGATGTAATATTGCCTCTAGTGTATGTACTAATTAACATCTAGAACTCCAACACGAACAACCCCAGCTCTATGAATCCCTCACAACATCTCTCAACCCTAGCGAACAAGCGATAGTCCAAGGCGTCGTAAACCAAGCTGAGATCAATGCGCGGGCTGCTGCTGCGTTGGTAGCCGCCGGCCAAGCTCCGGTCCCCAACATCGCTCCTTGAGCATTTCAACACGATATAGGGCTCAATTTTCTGGATGGAGGGGGGGAGGGCGGGGGTCTACTTTAAGGTCGTGAGGCAAATGTGCATGGCTGGCGTTTTATTCGTGGGGTCTCAGCATCGTCTTAGCAGTGTGTATATCTCCTCGGCGTCTCCTATTTTGGAGAGGTATTTCGGGGGATGTGAGTGAACGGGAGCGAGACGGTGATAGACACGTACGTGGGCGAGAAGAGAACGAATGCAAAGCAAGGATAAATTGCATTGCAGAGATTGAAATGCGTTCTAGTCGACCGACTATAGTTAATTAGGTAGGTAGCTAGGTAGGTAGGTAGGTAGGTAGGTAGGTAGGTAGGTAGGTAGACGCTTGGTGGAAATAGATAGTTGATACTTGCTGTCGATGAACATCCATTCTCTCCCTCCCTCCCTCCCTTCCTCCGTCCCTCCCTTCCTCCGTCCCTCACCCCCCAAACTCATGCATGCTCCCAACACCAGCTAGCAGCAACATCTGACCTCTTCCCATCTTTTTTCAATTTTTTCAATTTTTCAAT